AAGGTGTAAGAACTTCAGATAATTGTTATGGAATTCATCCTAATTCCAACTACGTGTACAGCAGTGCCAAGATCAATGTAACTGAACTGTGATATCAACGGCTTGGTCATATGAACTATAAAAGTTTGTCTAAACTCGCTAAGAAGGAACTTGTAAATAGCTTACCTAAACTTGAAAATATTGATACCACTGTATGTGGCCCATGTCAACAAGGTAAAAAGCTTAGAGTTCCTCATAAATAAACCTCTAAGATCTTGACAAGCAAGCCACTCGAATTACTCTATATGGAATTAATTGATTGAGTTCCTGAGAGATAAAACTGATGTGTGCGGTCTTATCATCTTATTGTGCAAGAGGCTTCGGAATGAAAAAGACTTTACTATATCACGATTTCGTAGTGATCATGGAACAGAGTTTGAAAACTTTAATCTTGAGAACTTCTGCCTGGAGGAGGGAATCCAACACGAGTTCTCATCGCCGATCACTTCAAAACAAAATGGGGCGGTTGAGATGAAAAATCGTGTGCTTCAAGAAATGACTAGAGTCATGCTTCATGGTAAGGGACTAGCTATACATTTGTGGGGTAAAGCCATCAACACTGCATGTCACATAGTAAATAGGGTTTATCTTAGACCTAAAACTGATAGACACTTTATGAAATCCAGAAAGGTAAATGCCATACTGTCAAGTACTTTCGTATGTTGGCAGCAAATGCTACATTCTGTGAGATAGAGAAAATTTGGAAAAGTTTGATTCCAAAAGTGATGAGGGAATTTTCCTAGGATACTCCAGAAATAGTCGAGCATATCGGGTATACAATACTCGTACACGAGTTGTGATGGAATCTATCAATGTAGTGGTGGATGATGCCTGTAGTGAGGGAGAGATTGGAGAAGATTGTGTAGATCTAGAACACTTGAATGTTGGTCCCGACATAGGAACTAACTGAACCTAGAGAAACTTCAGTTCCTGATCCCTCACACACAACTACTAGTTTAGATACTCTTAATATGGGGTCCACACCTAATGATAAATCTAAACATCCTAAAGAACCTTCGTCTAGAGTTAAGACGAACCATTCTAAAGTTAATATTATTGGAGATTTAGAAGAAGGAATGAGACTTCGAAAGAGGGTATTAAACAACTTGACTTATGTTAACTATGGGTCTCAGATTGAGCCTATAAAGGTCGAAGAAGCTCTTAGGGATGAATGTTGGGTTAACGTGATACATGAAGAGCTAAATCAGTTTGTGAGAAACAAAGTTTGAGATTTAGTTCCTAGACCTGATGATTGTAATGTTATAAGTACTATGTGGATATTTAAGAACAAAATCGATGATCAATGTACTATAACTAGAAATAAAGCTAGGTTAGTAGCCCAAGGATATACCCAGGTTGAAGGTGTAGATTTTGATGAAATATTTGCCCCGGTAGCAAGATTTGAATCCATTAGAATTCTTCTGACTGTTGCCTACACTTTAGGATTCAAATTATATCAAATGGATGTCAAGAGTGCCTTTCTGAATGAAATATTTCAGGAAGAAGCCTATGTTGAACAACTTAAAGGGTTTATTGATCCTAAATATTAACATTACGTTTATAGGTTCAATAAAGCTTTATATGATCTTAAACAAACTCTTAGAGCTTGGTATGATAGGCTTACTGCATATCTCATGGAACATTGTTTCTCGAAAGGTGGTGCAGATAGAACCCTATTTATAAGACGTATTGAAAAAACAATCACCATAGCTCAGATCTATGTTGATGATATCATTTTTGGTTCTCCTATTAATTCTCTTGCTCTTAATTTCGTTGAATGCATGAAGCAAGAATTTGAGATGAGTATGATTGGTGAATTAAATTATTTTCTAGGTTTCCGGTTAAGCAAACTGATGATGGACTGTTCATATCATAGTCGAAGTATGGAAAAAATCTTGTCAAGCGTTTTAGATTAGACAGTAAGAAACACACTAGGACCTCCATGAGCACCAGTGTCAAGTTAGGTCATGATCCTACTGGTAAGAGTGTTGATCAGACACTGTACAGAAGTATGATAGGTAGTTTACTTTATCTCACTGCTAGTAGACCTGACATAGCCTTTAGTGTAGGGTTTGTGCACGTTTTCATACTGATCCCAAGAAATCCCACCAGAGCGTCGTGCGACGTATCATTAGATATGTAAATGGTACCGTTGATTATGAAATCCTGTACTCTCGGGATTTGACTCTTGATCTGTTATAGGTTCTAAAATTTTGATTTTTTTTTTTTTTTTTTTGTTTATTATAATAATTTACTTTTCTAGAACAGATATTAAGGGGACAATCATCTTTCAAAAAAAGAAACTAATAGTTTAATGGACGGTTTCCATTCATTGAAAGTTTCTAACTACAATGCAATAATATGAAAGCTTGATGATGTTCCATTTTTACTGTTGGGACCATAGACTGAGGACCAATCGTGCAAGTTTTGCAGGTACTAATTTCTTATAATTGTTAATTAGTTATCATGGGTTTATAGAGATGACTATCAGTGGATCTTCTAAAGTTCAGACAATACACATAATTACAATATGGAGATTATTGGTTAAGAATTCTACAGGAGCACTTTAACTTTACACTAATTTAATTATTGAAATCGTAGCTGTCCCTAATTAGCAGCCTAAGACACGGTTCCCCCTTCTTAATTTCAAGACAACTTGTACTCTCGAAAATTAATTATTTCGAAAATAATGTAAACGATGCTAAAGTGAAAGAAGGTGAGAATAATTCTTTTCAATAAACGCCCTGAACAAGACTCTTTCCTTGTGAGAAACTAAGAATACATAGTGAAAACTAACTAACCCAACCAAAGGAAAGAAAGTTTAAAAATTGTAAGAACATTTTGTATGCACAATAAATGAAAACTTTGAAAAAATAAGTTACATTTGAAAGGTCAAATACATGGAATTGGAATATGAAAACCAAATCTAACCAACTTAATTATTCTAATCATTTCATGAACGTGGAAAAATGAAAAGCATTATCATATTTCTTACTCCCCAACCCTATAAATAATTTTCTCTTGTGCTAATCCAAACAACAACTCAGAGCGAAATATATCTGAATATAGCAAGCAATTTAAGCAATAAGTGGTTGATTATGAAACTTTTCGTCTTTCATTTATTAGGATTTCTTCTTCTTGGCGGCTTGTAGCCTGCCCAAGCTCGGGAACGTCGTTATAAGTTTGTGGCGAGTATAATGCCTATATTTCTTAGTGTTTTGGTAGCACAATTTCACAATTTTGAAGCTAATAAGCTGTCTTTTGCAGTTGAGAGATGCTCCATATACAAGGCTTTGCACCAACAAGACCATCTTGACAATAAATGGACAAATTCCAGGACCAACTATATTTGCTACTAAAGGAGAAACTATCATTGTTGATGTTTATAACCGAGCAAACGAAATCATCACCATTCACTAGTATAAACCTCAATATGTATTTAGTATATAAGAATTAATCAAGCCTTATATTGGTATAAACCTCTATATGTATCTAGCAGACTTGGGGAACTACTCTTGTGCCTCGCCACCAGGCTCTAGTCAAAGTGCCATGTTGCAAAAGGGAAGTCAACAAAGACTCAATCAATCAAAAGCAAAGAAATCAAACAAAGGCTAAAGCTTCCGTGTCGAAGCACTACTTAAATGGTTGACACTCTTAAGTCGAAGAGCTACATAAGAAATCAAAGAAGAAGCCGAAACTCTTCAATGAAGAACCACCAACACGATGCATCTGCTGGCCAAAGCCCTCAACTCACCCAAAGTCCTTGAAATTGAAGTTATCTCTTATAAGATTTGCAAGCAATCTTTAGAAATGATTGATGTAATATTTGTAATAAAGAATGTCAGGTATGTATAGGACGGTTGACATGTTATCAATGTATTTAATGTGTGATAGACTATGATGTGAGACTTCTGTCAAGAAAATAAGATGACGTGATTCTGATCCAACGATCACCATGTCGGCCAGAACTTTATAAATAGGCGATCTTTGTAAATTGTAAAGGATGATCTTTTGAATATTAATTCTAATGTATAAAGATACACTCAAGAAATACACTCTCAATATACTCTATTGCTTGTTCGACAATTGTTAAGTTTGATATTCGGTTAATGACATTTTATTGGTGATTGTTTGTTAGCGCAATCATTTTAGTTACTACCGTAGATGCTCGAACACTTGTGTCTATTGTCGTAAAGCATCTCCGGCTTTCACGTTCTCCCTTTCTCCGTCCGGTTCGTCGATCAAAACGTGCAGGAATTTTGCTTGCGGTCAACAGTTTTCATATCTAATTTGTTTTCACTCTTAATACATGAGAGTTAATCAAAATGATATCATATAGCTAATTTTCTTAAAATCGATTTCGCCAACTCAAAATAATAAATTTAGCCTCGGTTTGTCAATTTTATAAATAATTTATAATGTGTAGATAATAATAAATAGTAGTTATAAATGTGATCGAAATTATTGTTTGATTTTGACCGAATTCATAAAATATTTATAAATTGATATCCAATTATCCAAACAAAGGCTTAGTAGTGAAGTAGTGTTTCACGAGTGGGCCTCTAGAACACGAAAACTCGCGAAATGCGGATAATTTATACTCCCAATATTTGGTATAACAAACTTTTTGATGCATTGTCAAAAAAATGTCTATAGGTATATTAATGAAGAAGAAACCTAAAACTGAGGAAGTAAGAATGTATAATGAAGGCTTTACAGTAATAGGAGTATTTTTGAAATTCCAAATTCTTTTGACATGAATTTACCAGAATTTATTTTTCTTATGGTACTAATTAAACTAGCAATTTATTCTTACAAATCGTATACAATTCCAAACAAATTATCAGTAAACTCATCTTCATATGATGTTTTACTTCTTCAACATATAGTATAAGCTCGTCAGCTATGCTTGATGTATAGATATCGTTGGTAGAATGTGAAACTGGCAATTTGCCGTAGCATCAACATGGAGGCATATCTGGAGGTGGAGGCAACATTCTAGCCTCTTTTCCCTTGCCATCTTTTGTAATGAATACCTTCTCCATTCCCCAACTTACATGGCGTTCTAAATGGCAATGCAACAACCAGACACCTACATATTGAATAAGCATTTTAGGATAAGCTCTCGAGTCTCGAAGATGATGACAAAATGATAGGAAAAAAGTACAAAAATGCTACATGTACATTTTTTTTTTTTAACAGATGTGGTTACACGTGCTGAGCTGGCAAGATTTCATTGGCTGGTTTAACTTTATTTTTTGTCCAAAGTCGTGTGAAATCTTGCCACCTCAGCAGTATGTAATTCCATCCATTAAAACATCGTGTACAAGTAGCATTTTACAAAAAAAAAGTATATCGAGTGTATAACAACTAGGATTACTTGCTTTGAATATTACTGTTGTCCAACCATTTATAGGAACCGCGATTGTGTTCATTAGAGGAGGGTCGACAATATTATAATTCAATGGATCTCCATCTCTATCAAAGTTTCCAAATCCCCACCCAACTACATAATAGCTCTGTCCATGTAATTGCATAGGATGATCTATTCCTCCAACTGTGTTTGTTCCCTGAAAAATAATCTCCACTGTAGAATTATAGTCAAGAACTACTTTTGTGCCACTTCGAGGCCTCCATAGGGCTCGAGGGACAATATCTGCAGTATAATTTTAAGTAAATGGGGGATCAATAGGAAAGTCATGACCAAAGAAATTTCTGATGCGCAGGTAGTAAGCCTGAAGAATGGCAATGCTAGGCTGCACAAAGGTTATGTTATTCACACTTGCTAGGAAGGGCTCATCCAGAGCCACTTTACAAGAATTATTAGGACAAAGGACTGTATTGAGGAAAAGTGTAAAGAAATTCATATTTGTCACATTTTTAGGAACGTCAACAGGATAGTCAACAGGATAATCTTTATTTCCTAAACTTCTGAATCTTCCTGTGAAACTAACTGAAGCATTTGTATCATTGAAAATGGGAAGACTTGGAAGCAATAGCGATGATGAAGGGTATAATTTCCTCTATACTCGATAATAGTTGTGGTTTTGTTGTTGTAGTTTGCTACACTTGCATAAACGTGGGTAGCCATATAGTAGTGACTAGGTTTTTGGTTAGCTTTCAGCAAGAAATCAATGGTTTGTCCTGGAGAGATGGTAATATAATCACTTTTGATTGGCTTCGTATAGCTAGCATCAGATCCAACTACTGTGACACTGTTGTTTGCAATGGAAAAGAACATAAGCATTAATCATTCTAATCAAATAAGTTTTCCCGTGGAAAGGAAAGTCAACATACACTCAATTGGTCAAAAGCAAAGAAGTCAAACAAAGGCTGAAGCTCTTGTGTCGAAGCACTGCCTAAATGACTGACTCTCTTAAACCAAAAATCTACATAAGAAATTAAAGAAGAAGTCAAAACTCTTCACTGGGGAACCACCAACACGAATCTCTAGCTGGCCGAAGCCCTCAGCTCACCCGAAGTCCATGAAACTGAAATCGTCTCTTACAAGATTTGTAGGCAATTTTTAAGAATTGTCAATGTAATGTTTGTAATAAAGAATATCATGTATGTAGGCTGACCCGTTCTCAATGTATTTAATGCATGATAGACTATGATGTGAGACTTCGGTCAAGGAGATAAGGCCACATGATTTTGATCCAACGATCACCACGTCGGTCATAATTCTATAAATAGGTGGTCTTTGTAAATTGTAAAGGACGATCTTTTGAATATTGATTCTAATGCATAAAGATACACTCGAGAAATACTCTCAATATACTCTATCACTTGCTCGAAAATTGTTAAGTTTGATCTTCGGTTAATGATATTTTATTGGTGATTGTTTGTTAGCGCAATCATCTTAATTACTATTGTCGGTGCTCCTCTCCCGCGTTCACACTCTCCCTTTCTCCGTCCGGTTCACAGGTAAAAACGTTCAGGAATTTTCTTGCGTCGGCGTGAGTGAGCCCGACATCTGTTGTCCACATTCGAGTAACGAAAAACGGGATCAACAGTTTTCACATCTAATTCGATTTTACTCTCAATACATGAGTTAATTAAAATAATATCAGATAGCTAGTTGTCTTAAAATCGATTTAGCCAACTCAGAATAATAAATTTAGCTTTGGTTTGACAATTTTATAAATAATTTATAAAGAGGAATAGTAGTAGGTACAATGAAATGTGTAGATAATAATAAATAGTAGTTCAAATGTGGTGGAAATTATTGTTTGATTTTTTACTGTATTCATAAACTATTTATAAAATTGATATCCAATTATCCAAAAGGAGGCTTATTAGTGAAATAGTGTTTCACAAGTGGGTCTCTAGAAACACGACAACCGGCGAAATGCGGATAATTTATACTTCCAATATCTGATCATAACAAACTTTTTGATGCGTTGTCAAAAAAATGTCTACATGTATATTAACGAAGAAGAAACCTAAAACTGAGCAAGTAAGAATGTATAATGAAGGCATTACAGTAATAGGAGTATTTTTGAAATTCCGAATTCTTATGAAATGAACTTGCCAGGATTTATTTTTCTTATGGTATTAATTAAACTTGCAATTTATTCTTACAAATTGTATACAATTCCAAACAAATTACAAGTAAACTGATCTTCATATGATGTTTTACTTCTTCAACATATAGTATAAACTCGTCAGCTACGCTTGATGTATAGATATCGTTGGTAGAATGTGACTAGCAATTTGCCGTAGCATCAACATGGAGGCATGTCTGGAGGTGGAGGCAACATTCTAGCCTCTTTTCCCTTGCCATCTTTGGTAATGAATACCATTTCCATTCCCCAACTTATATGGCGCTCTAAATGGCAATGCAACAACCAAACACCTACATATTGAATAAGCGTTTTAGGATAAGCTCTCGAATCTCGAAGATGGTGATAAAATGATAGGAAAAATAGTAAAAAAATTCTACTTGTCATATTTTTTTAACAGATGAGGTTATATGTGCTGAGCTGGCAAGATTTCATTGTCCAAAGTGGTGTGAAATCTTCCCAACTCAGCATTATGTAACTCCATCTATTAAAACATCATGTACAAGTAGCATTTTACAAAAAAGTATACCAAGTGTATAACAATGAAGTCAAGGAGACAATGTCACTTACCAGGATTACTTGCTTTGAATCTTACTGTTGTCCAACCATTAATAGGAACGGCGATTGTGTTCACTAGAGGAGGGTCGACAAGATTATAATTCAATGGATCTCTGTCTCTATCAAAGTTTCCAAATCCCCACCCAACTACATAATAGCTCTGTCCATGTAAGTGTATAGGATGATCTATTCCTCCAACTGTGTTTGTTCCCTGGAAAACAATCTCAACTGTAGAATTATATTCAAGAACTCTTACTTCTGTGCCATTTCGAGGCGTCCATAGGGCTTGAGGAACATTGTCTGCGGTATAATTGTAAGTAAATGGGGGATCACTAGGAAAGTCATCACCGAAGACATTTCTGATGCGCCGATAGTAAGCCTGAAGAATGGCAATGCTAGGCTGCACGAATGTTATGTTATTCACGCTTGCTAGTAAGCGCTGATTCAAAGGCCCATCACAAGAATTATTAAAACAAGGCACTGCATTGATGGAAAATGTAAAGAAATACATATTCGTCACATTTTTAGGAACGTCGACAGGATAATCTTTATTTCCTAAGCTTCTGAGTCTTCCTGTGAAACTAACTGAAGCATTTGTATCATTGATCATGGGAAGACTTGGAAACAATGGCAACGATGGAGAGGTATAATTTCCTTTGTACTCGATAATTGCTGTTGTGGTTGTGTTGTCGTAGTCTGCTGCAGTTCTATAAACGTGGGCAGCCATGTAGTAGTGACTAGGTTTTTGGTTAGCTTTTAACAAGAAATCAATGGTTTGTCCAGGAGAGATGGTAATATAATCACTTTTGATTGGCTTCGTGTAGCTAGCATCCGATCCAACTACCGTGACACTGTGGTTTGCAATGGAAAAGAACATAATATTGTTCATGACTGCATTAATCATTCTAATCAAATAAGTTTTCCCATATTCCACCGTCAGCTTAAATGTATCTGCATAGAAAAAAAAAAGAAAATAGTTAGAACTTTAATAGTTTTTCCTCGAAGTATCCTTGTTTTGGATTAAAATTTGAGAACCTTATACTTAAGTTGAAACATTATGATTTTAACAGACGTCGTGATCGCCATATAGAAAAACTTTATATGACACTTCATATATTAAAATTTGTTACCCGTTATGAATATCTTTTGTACTTTTGTGTACCTAAATTTGCACCCAAGTTCATGTATTATAATTCTGTCATTAAAACTACACTAAAGTTGTTGACTTGTTCTTTCTCCCGTACAAGATATTTGTTCAGGTAACATAGGAAAAGGATAAGAATTACCAATGTTTGGCTAAGCTTGAAAAGTTTCAATAAATTAATTTTTTATTAGTGAAAGTTATAAATAAATAAGTTACTTATTTGACAATAATAGCAAAAGTTACTTTCAAAACTAAATAACTTTTTTAAGTTGAAAATATGAAAAAAGTAAGCTATTCAACCATACTTAGAAACAATAAATTACTTAAAAATCACTTCTACTTTCTTTTCAATGTGCTTAATAATACTACTTTTAAGTTGAAATATCTTAAGAAACCAACCTGATCTTGAGCATGGATAGAGATCACTAGGTTGGCCATTTATGAGGAAAGCATCAGAAATATTTGGGTCCCCTCCATTGTCAAGAAACTCAGTTCTGACTGTCTGTCTGTCACTCTTCCACCATTCCCTGTATCACACTACCAACTTTAAACATTCAGTTTCTGTGTCAATTATTTCTTCTTTTAATTTTTGCAATAAAAAATATTTTAATTTGAAAGCACCTAATATGATGGGCACTTCTGCATCCAGCTTAGGAAAAGGATAATTATTTTCTTCTTCTTAAAATAACTCCTATTTAATGCCTGTGTTGTCTCATATGGGACGTCTTAGCCTCATTTATCACGATAGATCAATGAGGTAACTAACAATGATATGTGCCTCTAGAATTAATATGAGAATGACGTAGACATAAGACTTATCAAGGTTTACCACGGTGTTATCAGTTTGGTCAGAAACCATTTGATTTTTGTGGTGACGAGTATTCTGTGGCAATTTTCTATCATTTTCATTATCTGTTTGAGATTGTATAAATCTGAATCAGATTGTCGTTGGAGTAAATGATATTAAAAAATCTATAATGTCTTGGCAGATTGAGTTAAAGGTCATTGTTGCTATGTATATATTTATACAATATATNTTGTCCATTTACTAGTAATATGCTCTTGTTGCTGCATAGCCTTGTGTATGGAGTATCTGTGAACTGCGAGACCAAAGGAGTTCTTCAGAGTTTATGATGGCTAGTGATTGCCAGAATTTTTTGTTTCCAAGAAGTTTGGCGCCACTAATCATTTCTTGAAACCCAAAATGTAAGTACAGCCAGTTTCACCTTACTTCTCACACAATTCACACTTTAATACGTGAAAAAAGATGAATCCTACATGACATGTCTAAAAATTAATAAATATCTATGAACATGAGCATATAACTTATTTCATAATCTTCATGACAAAAATAAGCTTACCACAAACTTATGTCGACGGATGAGAGCAGCATGAATAGGGAGCACCCCTCCTAAAAGAAGAAAACCTATTAAATGTAAGAGAGAAACCTTCATATTTAACTCACTGTTTGCAATAAAGATATGATCATGTGCTGTTTTTTAGGCTATCTGGGACTTCTTTATTTGCAGAATTGTTTCAAGTATACACATACAATATATATAGGTGCTGCAGGAGGTAAAGAAAAATGTTAGCTGATTTTGGCCACGTTGAAGATGGATGATTACGGAAGCACGTCTCTTACCAATAAATTTCAAATTTTTATACCAGTCAAATAATTGAAGCAATCTTTATGTTCTTGAATCTTTCTTCTGTATTGACTTTCAATGTCAGATTGTTTGAATTTGGACAATCCTCACTGGTGGAGGATTATTTAGCTTTCAATCATGCCACACATGCTTAAAAACATATTAAAAAACCGGGAACACGTATTCACACGTGATTGGACAGTTTGGAAAATAAAAATACAAACACCCAAGTAGGTGCTGCCAAGTCGGTCTGTCCACCATTTCTTTGTTTTTGAACCTGTTCAATCGTCATTATTGTTTTAACTTCTGCTGGCTGCTCTCGTTTTGGTAGTGATGGAAAGAAATGTAAATGAAAATATAGCGAATACTGCTATGCTTTCTGGACAAGAAAATTTAGTAATTAATTGACATTTTAGTAGATAATGCCACATGACATTCTATCATTGAACAGTTTAACGCATAGTCAAAGTTTTCATCCATTCATTTACTATTACATGCAATTATGTCAAACTTTCTATCAGAATTCATGACTAAACTGCAAAAATAAATCCTTCACTTTTGGCACGTTTATTTGTTACTGTATAGCAACATATGGTGTTCCTTTTCTTCATTTTGTTTCTAGAAAATGATAATTCTCTCTAGAATACTTGCATATATATTATTTGTATGTAAATGAGGATCGCGGCCTGCAAATCTTTTACGTAACATAAAAGTTAATACTAGCTAATATTATGTGTTTGACCTTTTCAATGCGTTTAAAATCGAACATAAGTTTATTTTAAAATAAAATAAAATGTCGGAAAGTTTCTTCTGTTTTAACCACCAATGGTGTTGACTTGATCCAGTCTGTCCACCATTAAAACGTATAAATCTAGATTAGATTAGAAAAATCAGAAAAACGCAGTTTTTCTTATTTGAGATATTTTTGCTTTCTTCAGATTATTATTTAAGGATTTCAATATATATAATTGATTTAATTTATTATTACAATTCTTATCTTAATATTTATTCTTTGTTATATTTTTATCGGTGTTCAAAAAAGTGTAAATCGTGGTTAATCTTTCAGGTCAAATTTCAGACTTTACGAAAAACATTTTCTTATTTTTATTCAGTCAAAAAATTATTTGATATAAAATAATACATATAGATATCTAAAATTATAAAACACTATATTTACTTAATAATTTTCACAATTAGTCAAATATACAATTTTTAAAGGAAAAACTTGAAATTAAGGCAAAATAAAAAGTTTTTAAAAGGGGGGAAAAATAAATAATAATAATAATAATAATAATAATAATAATAAAGCGAGCATAGGTGTGCCTAGGCTCACATTACAAGTTGATTGCATAATTTCACGCTTACTATCAAGACGTGACGTTTCATCTAGGCACGCTTTTTACAATGTTGATTTTTATTTGTATTCACAAATAAAGAGCAAAAGCACTTACATTGTCAAAATGAATAACGTAATTAGATATGTATGTAGAAAAGTTGTACAACGAGGTACCTAATCTACCTTAATGATGACCGTGATGCATGCAAGTATAATATTAAACGTGTAATCAAAGCTTTGTGATCTTTATTTTCCACGCCGTAGAAAAATCATTGCTTGGAAAAAAAATAGTAGCATAATTGTTTTTATTATAGTTAATGTTCGGACATGAATTGAACCCCAAATTTAAAAATTATTACAAATAATGAACATTTAATTTTCCATACATATTGTATCTAAGATTTGACTAGTATGTTTAAAAGTTCGTTAAACCGTCTCGCATCGCTCACAACGAACACTTATATCCGTCGTTTGTTAGCACTCGAATCTGATTTTGTCTAAAATCTGTTAAAATGTCTCATATATCTCACAAAAGCATATATTTTGATTGAAAAAGACAATGACACTGTTACTCGTGTAGATTATAATCAGATTTTTGGTAGACTTTGAAAAAAAAAATGAGAAAATGTATGGTTGAGAAGTTGTGGATTCCATAAAATATGTTGTTAAAATTTATTGTTGAGTTTGATTTGAGATTAAAATCAGATTTTAATCAGAATCAAATTGGGGTTTACTTTTTACTAATCCGACACTTGATAACGTGCACGTAATATTTCAACAAATATTTCTACATACTAGAAAACAAAAAAAGTAAAAATAAGTTAGAAATATAGAATAAACAACTGTGTTTGTAATTTTCTGATTAAAAAAAGTATATTTAAATATAAATTCTATCGGGATAGAAGAACGCGTAATGTTGAAAAGTGTTTCATAGTTACGTAGAAAAGTCTTTAGTAACACTTAGCAGCCTTGGAAAATTCTAGGATGTCGTTTTAACACACACCAAATTTCTGTGTGCTGTCTCACCAAACATCCGTTAATTGTCATACTTCAAAAAAGTCACCAAGTCTGCGCTACCTCAATAAATTATAAGTATCAAAGTAGCTTTTGAGAATAAAACTCTTATTTTCGATTAGATAAGCATTGGCTTTGGAATAAATTCGCTTTCGAGTTTTGACAGGTAATAGTAGAGACGTGTTACAAAGTGCTAGTTGGAGGCACAATATATGTTAAGACGACCCTAATTTAATTTAATTTAAAATGATCTTATCAAACTTGAATCTTCATACTCATCGCCCGCTTGCCTATTACATGTTGTAGTGTGTCATGGGTCGTGCGACATAAAATTTGAGTCGAGTCGAGTCGTTTAGCATGAAAAAGATAGCTTAAGCAAAAAAATATTGGGAATACAAAATTATGTTAGTTTACCAAAATGTTGTCCAAATTAAAATTGAAAATATAGTCGTTATTGGGTTCCACTCGTCTAATAAAATTCAACAATAATGGCTAGTTTTTCAATTTTAATTCTGTTTTAATCTCTACCGAACACGCCCTAAATGAAAAATGAACTATTTAACATATTCATGCATATTTAACATAAATATTAAAAGAAAAACTAACTATTTCTAAATAATAAAAAACTAGTGTTGAGAAAACTTATTATTATAAATTTCTAATACAATATGAATTCAGAGTGTATATACATATAATTTAATCATGTTATTTGTATAATTTTCATTGACAATTTTCGTTTGATAATATCACATTCATCTATATCAAAATATGTTTTCAACATCAAAGTTGTCAGTTTTAATTATCGAGTGTGATTGAATTCATATAATTTATCTTTGAGTAAAGAAATATTCATTTTTATTGCAAACTTAAATGATGAGAAAAAAACAAAAACTTGTCTCATTTTCTATCATTTTCCGTCCACTAAAGGTCAATTCGACTAGGATGGTACGTTCAGGTATCAAATTCTAGTTTCCGNTGGTACGTTCAGGTATCAAATTCTAGTTTCCGTGGTTTGAATTCTCTACCTTCGATGTACGTGGAAGAATTTAGCTTCTTCATTTAAAATAGAATTCTTTAATTATAATACTCATTTTTAATTGCACAATTATACAGTAAAATATTTTGTATGTAAATTTAAAATTTTTTCATACTTTTTAATCACACAAAAAATCACTATTCAAAATCTTGTTTTTTCAAAATAATGATCATCAAATAGGAACTTAGTACATATTCGGGTCCCATTTTTTAAAAAAATATATGTTTTAAAATAATAATCTTTTGGAGTGTGTATGTTTCAAAAATAACAAAAATTTTTATATTTATGTGTAAAATTATTTTATAAAAGAATATGAGATTTAAAAATGAGTTACGAAAAAGTGATTTTTTGAAAAAATGAAAGTCAAATGTAAGCTTATCTAAGCCTTTGTTTGGGTGGCCAATTTTTATTTTTTATTTTTTGGAAAAAACATTATTCTAAATAGTGAATTTTTGGATAATACGGAGTTAAAAAGTCTGAACAAATTTTGGACTACACGTGGAATATTTTATTGTGTGATTGAAAATAAATATAAAAAATAGAGTTTTGAAAGAATGTGAGACAAATTGAGGCTAATTTTACATTTTCAAAACAAGAATAGCACTAAAGGCGCGTTTGATTGTCAATATTTTTTATGAAAAATATTTTCTTACCCAAATTCTTATTTTTGTACTGTTTGATTGATATTTTTTTATGAAAAAATACTTTCATACTTTTAATCACGTGATCATACTTCAAAAATAAAGAAAATATTTTCTTTAGAGGAGCATGATTTTATTTTTCAGGTAATTTTTTTTCTCTCTCTCACCTACCTACTAATAAAAAATGGACAAATTAGCCTCCCGGGGCACATCCAAGTTGACAAAGGATGGGGCACTGCTGGGCTTGCAACCTCAGGGTGGGGAGTTCGATTCTTGGAT